TCCCCTCGCGCCCGGCCCGCACAGCCCGCGCGCCCCCGCACCCGGCCAGCCGCCGCTCGGCCCCCGCCGCGCCCGCAGAGGCCGCCATGCGGCCCGCGCGCTGGCTCGCACTGGGTAGCCTCCTCGCCCTGGCCGGGCTGCTGGAAGGCCGGCTCGTGGGCGAGGAGGAAGCCGGCTTCGGCGAATGCGACCGGTTCTTCTACGCCGGGACCCCGCCTGCGGGGCTGGCGGCCGAGGCCCACGTGAAGATCTGTCAGCGCTTCGAGGGCGCCGAGCGCTTCGCCACCCTGTACAGCCGCTGGGACCGCATCCCCGTGTACTCGGCGTTCCGCGCCGCGCGCCCCGCGGCTGCCGGCGCCGAGCCCCGCTGGCTGGTGGAGCCGCAGGTGAGCGAGCGGTGCCGGAGCTCGGGCGCTGGGCTGTGGCCCCGGGGGAGTAGGGGAGGTGGGGGCGCGCTGGGCTGCCGCCGCGAGGGCGCGGGCCGGGAAAGGAAGCCCCAGCGTCTTCGGGGCCGGGTCAGGAACCCCGGGTCTCCGAGCCTCCCCGCCGCACCCTGTCTGAGCCGCAGCCAGGGCTTGGCGACCCTCGAGCCTCCGCTTCAGCCGCAGGGGCCCCCGCGGTCCCCAGTGGGAGGGGGTTCTCCCCTGCATTTCGGGATAGACGTCTGCAGTGTCTCCTTCATTTCCCGACCGGTGAGGGGCGTGAGACGGACCGTTCAAATCAGCGGAAAGCCTCTTCTGGCAGGGCCTCGCCACAGTTTTTTGGGCCGGGGTAGGCGGGTGGGTGGGCGCTTTCATGCCCATTTTGCAGAAGAGGAGATCAAGGCCCAGGGAGTGAAGAGACCTGTGGAAGTCCACCCAGCTGGTAAGATGGGACAGGTGTTTGGGCTTAGAAGTTTACCTCCCTTTCTACTACGGAAAAGCTGCTCTTCTGCTGAGGCCACCTGAGCCTGAAAACCTCTTGTGCACAGGATGTGGAGTAACTCCGACCTGTGGTTCTGCTGAGTTAGGACAATAAAGGTACATCGTTTTAGAAATGCCATGGCATAGTTACAAGCAGTAGGGAGACTGACTATCTTCAATTAGTGGGAAGGGCAAACTAGTTTTGCCTGACTCTTCATATCTATATTATCAGACCACTTGGAAACCGTGTCATGAGTGTTCTGGGGAGGGTGACCCGACACTGCAGAAGGTTCCCAGAGGCCCTGCTGAATCTGCCTTAACGCATCCTGTTTCTGCTTAGCTAGTCCCCTCTGCACACCCAGCCAGGCTCACTTCTGGTAGGTTCTCTGTCCCTCACCCACCTTCCACTATTTCCTATGCTGGCCCCAGCCACCCAGGCCACCCTGGCAGGGGGCAGAGCTCCTCTCTGAGCCCACCCATCCCTGACGGTCACAGCTGGCCAAAACCACTCGGGGGAACAGACTGCGGCTTTCAGGGGCTGCATTCAGAGCCCTGAGCAGTAATCCCTGTAATGTCGTCCAGATAGTTCTAGCTCTGAGAGCTTGGCCAGGACTCATCCCATCTTGCACGTCAGTCTTCTTCCCTTCCTGCCCGCATCCAGTCCATAACCCTCACCTTGCTGTCAGGACCTAGGAGATCAGGCATGTGTGAAAATGCCATTGTAAATTGTACACACGTAAGATATATATTAATCTGCCATAGTTTGCCCCCAGCTTCAAGCTCTATCCCTACCCCCCAATTCATTATGCCTCACGACTGTGGGCCTCTCAAGAAACGGATGACCTAAGCTTTTCTCCTTGAGGATCTCCTGGATGGCTCGAGGAGACAGAACATACATGTGAGGAAGACATGGGAATGTGCGCTGAATTTCAGTTGAATTCGGAGCACATTTAGTAATCACCGGCTGGGTGCCAGGAACTTAGGGTACCAGGACAACAGGGGGTGGCTCTTGGGCTCTAAGGCTTCCTGGTGTGCAAGTGAAAAACTGCTGGGTGGAGAGTGGCAAAACAATTGGTCAGAGCCAAGCCATGTGGGTTTAAGAGTGTTTCTGTATTGACTAGCTGTAAAACTGGGCAGGTTATCCCGGAGCTAACAACAGGGTAGCCTTGAGGATTTAAATGAGTGACTATATAAAGTTCTCTGAGAGATGCTTGGCACACAAGTACTAGTGTTATTAGGACCTAAGCAAAGCCCATACTTTAATAAAGGTAAACAAAGTCCTATTAGATTTCATCTTTCTTGGAGGTGAGAGGGGAAAGCCTTAGGGTCAGGATGACACTTGTGCTGTGGTTGGAGGAGGAGGCAGAATTCAGGAGACAAAGAGCAAGAGGACGGTCCAAGCCTCCTGGTGCTTTGGAGGGAACAGCTAAAGGGAGAAATGCACATTCAGGGATTAGTGTGTGGGGAGTGGTTGGAGTTACTAAACTAGTAGAAGTAGGTAGGTGACGGTCTGCTCAGGTGTTCCCAATGGAGGGGAATAATGGAAGGGAGAGGGCAGGTGTGAGGGAATCATCAAGGCTTAGTGAGGCAGAGCCATTGGCGCAATTCCAGAAAGAGTTGGAGCAAGTTGGGGGGCAGAACCAAGTCACAGAGGCAGAGGGCCCTGGGGGGGCAGGAAATGAGGACTGGCACTGGGGAGGTAAAAGAGGATGGGGAAGGAGGGGAGACATGGGTCCAAATGGCAGCTTGAGAGTGGAGATGAACAGTGAACTGGAAGAGGACAGGAGGCCATTGAATTCCTGGCTGGGGAGGTCAGAATGGTGGTAGTGGCTGATGCTTTTCCCAGCAGGATGGGCTCCTGACCCCTCCTTCCCTCCCTCCCCCCTCCCCCCCCCCCCCTCCCCCCCCCCCCCCCCCGCCTCAGTCAGGAGCCAGAGGGTATCAGGAGGGAGGGAAGGAAGAAGGGAGGGAGAAAAAGCTGCAAGATGAGATGCAGGCGGGCTCTGGAGCAAACTGCAGCAAACCTGACCTTTCCCTGCCCCACTCCACCCCCCCCCCTGCCCCACTCCACCCCACCCCCGCCCCACCCCCTGGCCTGGATCCCGGGACCTGCCTTCCAGCCAAGGTCCCCACTGCAGAAGGATGCTCAAGGCTCACTGTGGACTTCTGGCTGCTTCAGAGCACTTTGTAATGCTGAGCTGCCTTGTGCCCACATCCCCTTTCTCTGAAGTCAGCTTTGCCGAGAGGCCCAGCAGACGGGGAGGAAGAGGGGGGAGGCTGGAGGAGCTCCGTGCTTGCCTTGAGTGATGAGTCAGGCAGGGCTCCGCTGGCCCCTGGGGGGCTCCCACAGCCCAGTTCAGCAGCTTTCACAGCTGTCCTGTTTCCCTTGGGGAAAAAAACCCAAAATTGAAGATGGGAGAAACTTCATCACTCTTGAGCTTAAAACTCTAAGGTGTTGGCTGCCCGCCACCTGCCAGACCAGGTTCATTCTTCAGGATGCAGTTGACAAGGCTCTCCACGTCCTGGCTCCAGCTCCAGCTCCAGCCTCGGTTCTCACTCCTCCCCACCCTCGAATTTTCTGTTCTAGCATTATCCAGCTGCCTGGCATGCCCCTCAGAAACCGTACTGCTTGTCACTTCTACTTCTGTCCTCATGCTCATTCCTTTTGCCCCGAATCCCCTTTCTGTACTGTCCTCTCTTGCCCTCACTTCTTCCCCTCCTCCATCCTTTAAGACTGCCAAGGTATCCTCTCTTCTAGAAGGAGTTGCCCACTTGACTTAGCTCCACTGGTCAGGACTCTGATAATTTCTCTATTTTGTATTCCCCACATTGTTTTTTTTTTTTTTTAAAGATTTTATTTATTTATTTGACAGACAGAGATCACAAGTAGGCAGAGAGGCAGGCAGAGAGAGAGGAGGAAGCAGGCTCCCTGCTGAGCAGAGAGCCCAATGCGGGGGCTTGATCCCAGGACCCTGAGATCATGACTGGAGCCTAAGGAAGCCGCTTAACTGACTGAGCCACTGAGGCATCTCTTTGCACATTGTTTTGTAATGACCTGCTTATGCGTTGGTCTCCTCCGTGTGAGGCCTTGAGAGGAGAGTGCTGCATCTCACTCATCCTGCTTATGTTCCTAGTGCCTGGGACACACACAGTCCCTCAGCAAGGGCTGAATCAAATAATGTGCTGTTGGGCTCATTCAGGCAGCAGCGGGTGAGACGCTCGGCTTGAGCTTTCGTGGTGGGACCCACGCTGCTGCACAGGCTTGCCCCATAGCTGGCCAGCAGCTGCTAATACAAACCTGTTCCGTGTACAGAGCTGGAACCTTCTTCTAAGTCCACCCCATTAGTCCCAGCTCTGGCTTTTGGAACGACCCCAAAGGGTTTAGATCTCTTCTTGGGACAACAGCTTTTGGTGTCAGATACAGGATCCCATGTCCACCCACACGGGAAGAATTTAAATGGGATCTTCTGAGGGGCAGAAGGAGAACTCCAAAGTAAGCAGAGAAAACAGTGGGCTGTTGTAGTTTTATGTGGAATGAATAGGGGGTGCCTGGTGGCTCAGTCAGTTAAGCATCCGCCTTTGGTTCAGGTCATGATCCCAGGGTCCTGGGATTGAACCCCACGTTGGGCTCCCTGCTCAGCGAGGAGCCTGCTTCTCCTTCTCCCTTCGCACCTCCCCCCGCTCATGCTCTCACTCTGTATGTCAAACAAATAAATAAAATCTTAAGAAATAAATAATAAGTAAATAAATAAATAGAGAATGCAGGAAAAGGCAAAAAAGGTGAGAAAATATTCCCCCCATTAGCATGGTGGAGATGCTTTAAAAAGTTTCTAGTCAAGACTTGAGAGACTTGAGAACTGCTCTTTTGTACGGGGAGCCCCAGACCTTTTCATGTCTCAGTTCCTTTCCATTTAATGGAAGCATTTTTGGAGAAGATATCAGTGATGCCTTACCAATGTGCCCTGTCCATTCATGCTGGAGGCCATCATATATGACTACCGTTTTATCAAGATGAACACTGGACGCATCTGGCTTTGTATTTGGCTTATACTTATTTAATCTCACAAAAATACTCTGAGGTAGATGTCATTGTCTTCATTGTAGAGATGAGGAAATGGACTCAGAGGGGTTAAGCAATGCTCCCAGGGTCACACAGCTTGGATTTGAACTCATGATTATGTGCTCTCAGTCCAATGCTCTTTGCATATATCACTTTGACCTCATAGTCAAGCCACCGCATTAATGGCCATAGGTTATTAATTCTCGTCTTGTATGTGGGGTCTTAATTTCCACTCTATTGCTCATTTCAATAGTGAGCAGGACAAGTGGGAGCAGAAATCTGGCCTCGTACTTACGAGACTTAGGTGTAAGTGGCTCTGGAGTGAAGGGTAGATGCTATAAGAGCATTGTCCTAAAGGGCCCAGTGAGGCCATATTTCAGATCTCAGTAAATGCCTGGGAATAGTGATTGCAATTGAGAACCTT